GAAGTGACTAACTTGATATAAGGTTGGGGGTGGAGTCTTGAGTAAATGATCATCAGGGGCATATGCGAACAGTAATGAGGTGCAGCGTAGCAGACACAGAGGGTTTGGAAATCACCTCAACACTGGGATGATTCATGAGAGAGAAGACCAGAGAGGGAGGCTGGATGCTGCTCCCGTCCACGGCTTTGCTTGCAGGCAGATGCACATTTGTGCTGAAGCTTCTCAGAGGTTGAGTGTTCTCTGCTTCCCTTTGCCCACTCCTTCCATAGATGTCCCAGGCCCACTAAGTCCCATTAAAGTGCAGTCTGGGTTGGCAGGCATGTTTAATACTCTCTTGGTTTTTTGTTTTTTCCTACTTAGGAAGCCTCCATACATTTCTAGATGTACCTGTGTGTCTACTGGTTATGTCTCCTCCACCTCCAGTGACATGGAGATGCCAATGAGCATTGCTTGGGATGTTTGGGATACTGTCACTGGTCCCTCAGACCTCATCTTTAGGGCTGACTCTGGATCCAGCCCTATGAATTCAACTGTGACTCTCCTAGGGAGACAACTTTGCACATTCTAAGATAATATAGCAAAACAAATGTGCACAGGATCGACCTGAGTGAATCTGGCTCAGGTGACATTCTCATGTGGCCTTCTGAAGGGCTGGGAGCCTCTGTCAGCTGGGTGTGCCTGCTGTGTGTGGGGGGTGGAGTCTAGCAGTGATGCTTACTCAGCAGGCCTTTCTCACAGCCAGGGAGCAGGTGGCTCTGCTCAAGTTGGCCCACACTCTCCTGGCTAAAGCAAATTCCTGTCTTTCCTTTTGTTCCTCACAGAATGTCCTTCTTTTTGCTGTCTGCCAATCTACTACTTCATGTTGCAGGTGAGTCATTTTTCTAAAAAGTTTGTGGTTATTTCTGAAACAGCTTTGGGGACACTGGAGAAAATAGTGGTTTGGAGAGAAAATCCAACCAAACAAACGAAGCAGCAGATGACTCCATCCTTTCAAGCCTCATTTCATCTTTGAAATGGAAATTGTAAATACCTGCTCTATAGGCTTCATAGGAAATGATGATGAGCAGATGAGAAAATAGGCACATATTGTAAGGCGTTTTGTTCATTCTACTTTCTGTTTTATAATGAGAAGAGCTGCCTACCCCGCAACTTGGTTTGTCCATTTAGAGCCATATTTATATGAGTAACCCATTTACATCTGTAGTGTCAGCATCTTAACCAAAATAAAAGTAAAAATTGAGACCTCTCCTCAGGTGACTCTGACAAGTGCCAATTTGAACTATGCATCCAGAATGTCTGAAATCACATCTGCCCTGAGAAACCTGGGTGAACACTTTACATAACTCTTGACACTCACATTCTTCAAAACTGTTGGTGATGGATCAAGATAAAGATGAGGGAAATGTTAATGTAAGCCAGCCAACCAAAGTACACATAAAAGTTTCTAAAAACCACCATGTACGTAAACCCTACAATGTAACTCCTCTGTACAGTGATCAATTACAGTCTTCAGGCGTGTGCCATCCTCAGGGACCTACAGCAGTTCTTCCAGGCTTTTAAAGGTGGCAGTATCTTGCTCCAGAGATAACTGAGGAGTTAGTGTGAGGCCTACCAGGCTGTATTTACTGGCTGTTTTCTCTTGATGCTGTGTGTGTGTGTGTGTGTGTGTGTGTGTGTGTGTGTGAGTGTGTGTGTGTAAGGGCAAAGTGAGTTGGCAATCATTCATAGTTAGGACAAACTCAGTCCAATAAGAAAAAGAATGAGTGTATATTCAGGTGAGAATAAAAAAGATGTGTCTGTTTGTTCTAGTAATGTCTTATAATTTATAGCAATATTGCCAACCTAATGGTATGTGCCAGCTGGTATACCAGACACTATTGTTCTGTAGTTTTCAGTGTTTTCTGACTATTCACACAGGATCATCTGCAGATGTAGCAGTGAGAAGCTGGCTTATTTCATTACATCCTCAATAGACCGTGTTTCATAATTTGTTGGCCAGCCATTGTTGCCTGAGTCTGAGACCCTTTCCTCTGGGGTCTGAAAGGGTACAGCTGCAGCAACACCTCATGCCTAAAATTGGAGAAGCTACAATCAAGGACCCCTACATATCCTTGTGAGAGAGATGGAGGTGGAAGCAGTTTACTAAAGTATCTACCCATTTTCTCTCCTCCTTCTGTCCCCCTGGAAAATGACTGAGTCCTGTCAGAAAAATAGTCTCTAGGATCCCAAAGTATTTCATAACAACCCTGGAGCAGGTGTTCTCATCTTAATTGTATATGAGTAAACTGCAATCAGAGAAATCAAATAACTTCCCTGATGCTAAATGACAAGGACTGTAAGGGATTACTTAGAACTAGAACTTGGAATTACAATTCTTCAGGTCAGAACTTTAAAAACATTGTTTTTTTATTAAAACCACATGAAAAAATAAACAGTTTGAGCAAGAAAACACTTGGTTTTTTAATTGCGAATTCATCTGTCTTAAAAGTTATACAAGTTTTCTACCCCTGCCTCTTTTCCATCATTTCTTTTTTTTCCTTTTTTAAAATTTAAATTGAATTTATTGGTACATTCTAGGTAGACAGTACAGTTACAGTCATTATTGGGATCTTGTACCTTTACATGACAGGTCTTGGTTCTCATTTTTTCCCCTTGTCCCCACCCTCCCTTCACCCCCTTCTCCCCTCCCCACCTTCAAACACTTTAATTCCATTTTTAAATTTTCTCATATTTTTTTCCTTTTCCCTTATTCCCCTTTCCCTATCCTTCTCACTGTCCCTACACTTTTGGTCCTTTTCTTCCTATTTCACGTTGCTAATTGTCCCGTTATCCATCATTTCTTTATATTCACTCATTTATTCATTCAATAGTCACTAATGTGTGCATTACACTTAGAATGAGTGCCTATTGTTAGGAGATGGAAAGGTATATTTCACATAGAGAGATTTGTAGTCAGACTCTCAGATTTCAATCTTAGTTTCCTACTCACAAGCCATATATCCTTGAGCAACTTCACAGGCCTTGGTCTTCCCATTAGTAAAATAGGGTGATAATAGCACTGCCTCAATTTACTATGCAGATTTATTTAATTAAGGGAGAAAATATGTTTAGCAATTATAAATTCTCAATAAAGATGCCCAGTGTAGTTAGGGTCCACTAGAAAAACAGATAAAGAGAGGGAAGGGAAGGGGAGGAGAAGGGATGGGAAGAAGGAACTGGCTTATGGCGGTTAGAAGTCCCATGATCTGTAGTTGGATAGCTGGAAAGCAAGTGATGTAGTTCTAGCCTGAGTGCAAAGCCTGGAGTTGCAGGAAGAACACATGTTTCACTTCAAGCCTGAAGGCAAAAAATAATTGCTCCAGCACTTAGACAGGAGGCATTCCTTTTCGTAGGAGGGTCTGCTTTTTTGTTCTGTTCAGAACTCCCATTGGCAGAGAGCTGCTCACCTTAGAAAGGACAACTGCTTTCCTCAGTTGGTCCATTCAGATATTCATCTCATCCAAAAGCACCCACACAGATACACCTAGGATGTTTCGCCAAATACCTGGGCCATGTGGCTACTGCTACTAGAACAAGCTGATTATGTCCGTTGTTCGTCTAGAGGCTCCTCTCCTGGATATGAGTCCAGTTGTTCTTTGCAGCTGATGGCTTGGGAATGTTCTTGCTCACTAACTTTGATCATTTAGATTTTCTCATACTGCAATGCTTCACCTGTTTCTTTGGTTTCACCTCATATCATTGTATCCAGCAGTGTCCTTACACAGTCACAATGCGTGCAGTTCACACTGACCAGCTCTTCCTCCTTTCTGCTGTTTGCCATCAGCACAGTGCCTCTAGGAGGAAAAAAAAAAGGTTTTTTTCATAATGCTTAAGTCTTATTCTGTCTTTCTCATGTTAGGAATTTATCCTGTAGGCAAAAAATTTGGTAATGGGATAGGAATGTTACTTAGTGGTAGAGTGCTTTTCTAGCATGTGTGGGGTCCTGGGCTTAATCGCCAGCAAAATGGACACATGCAGACACACACACACACACACACACACAGAGTTTGGTAGCAATAACATTAAAAGTCCCTTTTAAACTCTGAGAAATGTTTCTTTGTGCCATGCTACTGGTATTTTAATTTGTGATCTTGAATAACTGCTTCCTGGGAACCAATTTTGTCTTTTAGCAGCAGAGACATTTGACAGGAGATTTCTGAATTTGGAAGTTGAATTTATAAGTAAATTAGAGAGGGATTGTCCTAATTAAAATGGTAAGGGTGGAGATCCTACTGTTTTGGTTTTCCTCTGACCACCAGTGGCAACCTCTGGAGTGAGTTCTGGGAAAAATAGTTTGAAAACATCGAATCAGATGATCTCTAAACTTTCTTCGAGCTCTAACATATCAGGATCCCATTCATGCTATGGTTTTCATGGCTGTACTCCCTACTATTGATAACTGCCTAGGCTGGATGGTATCTGTGGTAAATGGGATGGGTTTATTTACTGAACACCTGTTTCTTTCTGATGTGCTTTCCTGGATTATTTAAGCTGCAGAATAAAAAGCTACGTTTCCAAGATGGCTTTGCCATTAGAGTTCTGGGAGTGACTTAGGCTCTGCCAATCAGATACACTTGTGCAAGAGTTAAATTGGCAACTGATTGAGTGGACAGAAAGGTTACATAGCACATGAGGCATCCTTTCCTTTGCCAATGTGAATTTGGCAGATGCAGTTTGGCTCTAGAGCCAGCCCCCCACTGTGACGCCTTCCTGATTCACCAGCTTCCAAGTAAGGCAGAGGCAGCAGCAACTCAGCCAACCAATTCTGTTGAGTCATCCTGAGCCTAGCATGATGTGAAGGAGGAAAAACACACAACTGAAGCTTCACTTTTCTGTGCTCTGCTTTGGGCTCATCCCTCCAGCCTTCCAGGGATTTTATAAACATTGGAACTAAATCCTTTCCTACTTGAAATAGTGGAGTGATTCCTTGAGCAGCCAGTAGACCCTCCCTGGTTCAGTGATCATCGGTCTTTACTAACTTCATTTCTCCTGTGACAGTCTCAGTGTCGCAAGAAGAGTTGCGGGCCCACCCCTTCACTGATGTGACACTCTCCTGTCATTTCTCCTTTGTGGAGGGCACAGAAAATCTTGAATTTTCTTGGGAAAGAGAAGACATCATAGAGGAATATGAAGTAGATGGTGACGAGCAATTTTACCGCTTTTTCCGGTACTATGATTTCTTTGAAGTTTTCACAAAGGTTGTATACCAGTTTCACAGTAACACAGAGCAACTAGAAGATCAAAATGCCATGTACGAAGGAAGAGTTTCGGTGGATCAAAATGAAATTTCTGAGGGGTCCCTGTCACTTCTACTAAGGAATGTGGGCTTCATGGATGAAGCAATGTACAAGTGCTCAGCCATCACACCAGATGGAAGAGGCGAAAGCACAATCAAGCTAATTGTAGAAGGTGAGGGGATTTTATGGATGAACTTGTTTTCAAGCTCTGTCTGTGTTCATAAGGATAAACTATAGGTTTCCTCTTCTACTCAAGTCACTTTAGGTTATGTTTATTTCTATCGTGAGAGTCAGGAGCTTGGTATGTCAACTCGTCTTAGCTAGAAATATTACTCTGAACAAGAGGTGCTGGATGTGTACCGTGTAATCATTCATTCATTAATTCATACAAAACAACATGAGCAGGATTGATCTAATCCAAAACTCTCTGAACAAGTTGTAACAGTAAACCCCCCTAATCTGCTCCAACACATTAGTCCTATCCGAAGACTCAGAAATTTGACATGGGGATTTAGTGAGAACAGCCATGCACTGGAGTCTGGAAGGCCAAGTTCTAATTCTGGATGGCTTTGGGCAACTTGTTTAGCTTCTCTGGGCTTCACTTTTCTCTATTAAAATGAAGGTCTGGCTGATCAGTGAATCTCCACGGTGTCCAGGGATCCTTACCCTTCACAGGATTGCTTGGATACCTGTCTTTTTCTGCCAGAGACCTCATGGAGTTTGGGGGGGTCGGTGTGGAAGAATTCGTCCAGGATAAGAGTTGGCAAAGATGGGGAGGTGGTGATGAGAACCACTTACTACCATCTGAGAATCTCAGCAGGGTATCAGAGACCAGTGGAGAATCTGGAATGAACCCACTCTAAGAAGAGAGATTTCAAACCTAAAGACAGCAGGGGTAGGTGAGAACTGGAGGGCAGGACCGTATTTGTATCCTGTTCTCTCATTATAAGCAATAATGCGCCTCCAGATGGGTAGGCTCTGTAAGGGGTTAATATAAAAACCAAGGGCAAGATTTCTGCTAGCCTGAGCCTCCTGGGGCTGAAAGTAAAAAGGAACTAATTGTTTTGTTATTTTTTTCCATCCAGACTCTGAAATGCCCCAGGTACAATTTGGCAAGATTGATGAGGAGGACGTGGCCATTTGCGTCTCCAAGGGCTGGTACTTTGCACCCAATGTGACCTGGTTGGACCGGGGTGAGAAGGACCTGAGTAATCACAGTACAGTTGAGATCCTGGAGGAGCAGATGAATGGCCTGTACCGGGTATACTCTGTGCTGAAATACCCAGTCAAGTTAAATGAGAAATATGTCTGTCATATCAAAGAGACAGACCAGAACTACAAGCCCTTCAGAATGATCCGCAGGTACCCCAGTAAGTACAAACCCCAGGGGAAGAGTGAAAGCTGTGCACCTCACCACAAACAAGTCAGTATTCATTAATATTTACTGAATGCCAAATGTATCAGGCACTTCTGGGCACTTTGGGGACTTAAAAAAAGCATCAGAACATAAGCTTGTAGCCTGGGGCAAGAGAAGATGATGAAGCAGTCTCTCTAGGTTTGAAAAAACACCACGCTTCAGGGACTGGCAGCTTTCACCCTGATGGATGTGGCTGTTACTATTGATGAGGCTTCTGGTCCTCTGCTAAGAATACCAGCTTTGTGATGTGACAGGCTTGAGTAGTCAGAGAAGCCATTCTCCAGCCTCTCATTAAAAGCCTGGGACTTCACATAGGTCATTTTAAGTCCTCACCTCAACCCTGCAAGGTAATTGTTGTTACCATCTTCCTTCTATTTGACAAAACCAAGAAGTTAAATAGTTCAAGAACATAGCTCATGAGCACAATATTTGAATTTCAGAAAACCAGCAAATGTCATAAGTGTGCATAGTAATTGTTATTTGTCAGGAATTCAATCTTTTATATTTTTCTGTGGTGTTAGGCTTTCCCACTGAGACACATCTCTAACCCTTTATTGATTTATCTAGTTTTAATTCCCTATCCATGTGTCTATTCAGAGAAAGGGTTTCATTAAGTTGCTCACTTGCCCAGTCTGGGCTCAAAGGTGTGATCCTCTTTCCTCAGGCTCACTGAGTGCTGGGATTGCAGGTATGCACCACTGTTCCTAGCTAGACATTCAGATCTAACTGGTTGTCCTATATTATATCTGGGAAAGCTCTATTTAAGAGATGGGGAAGTTGAACCTCTGAAATGAGGGGCAGGAGGGATTCATACTTCTCTGAAAGAAAAGAAAGAAGAAACTAAATTTCCCACCTGGTTTAGGAGGCTGGCATTGTGTAGGGCAGTGGTTCTCCACGCTTCATCCCCAAACCAACGACACTGGCACCAACCAGGAGTTTGAAGCAAAATATATCATGTACAGGTACAAATTCCCAATGGTGAATGTTATCATTATGTATATCTAAAATGTAGTGATAAAGGTTTTGCTTCAAGAAAAAAAAGTAAAACACATTCATGTACTTATCAGATGGAACAATCATATGGAGAAAAAGTAGGGAAGGTGGATTAGAAAGAGGGATGTGCGGGAAGGAGGGTTGTCACTTTGAAATGGGCTGTCCAGAGAAAACTTCATTGAGAGGCTAACTTTAAATAAACTCTTGAAGGAGGTGAGAGAGCCAGGCTCAGGTTGGGGGTGGAGGGCAAGGGCTGATAGATGTGAGGAATAGAAAGAAGGCCAGGCCTGTAGCTGGAATGGGGAGAGTTTGTGAGTATAGAACTTGAGATCAGAAAGACAGCCGGAAGCTAGACTGCCTAGCTGCCTAGGTAGGTGGTTGTGAGGGCTTTTGGCTTTTGCTTATACTATGGGAGGACTATGGGAAGAGATGCAAAGCCATTGGAGGATTTTGAACAGAGGAATGAAATGATCTGACTCATATTTTATATGTATCTTCCGGAGTAGACCCAAGAAGGTCAATAGTGGGAACAGGGTGACCAGTTGGGACTGCATTATAATAATCCAGATATGAGAAGGTAGTGACTCGATCCAAGGTGTTATTAGTGAAATTGGTATGAAATTGGATTATGTGTATATTTTTGAAGAAAGAGAAAGTAGGAATTGATGAAACAGTAGATAATAGATGTGGCATAGAGAGAGGAGTCAGTGATGACTAGGGAAGAGTCATTTGACCTGAGCAAATGAAAGAGCAGAAACATCATTTATTCTGATTAGGAAGTCCAGGAGTTGGTTTTCGATATCTCAAGTTAGAGATATTCATATGAGACATTTGAGGGGAAAATGTTGAGTGGTTAGTTAGATATGAAATCAGTTGGTAGAGAGGTCCATGATTACAACATAGATCTGGGAGTAATCAACCTGTAGATGGTGTTTCAAATGATGAAAGTAGATGGGCTCCCCCAAGAGAGTAGGCATAGATGGAAAAGTGATTCAGGAGCTAAGCTCTGGGACCTACCAACATTTATAGGTCAGGAGGATGAAAAGAAATCAGTGAAGGAGAACGGGCAGGAGTAGACAGGAAAGAAAACAGGAAACTAGGAGTGTGTCATAACTTGGAAGCCAAAGAAAGACAGAAAACATGTTAGAGAGGAGGGAATGCTCAACTGTGTGGAAAGCCACTGAGGGGTCAAGTAAGGTGAGGACTGAGAAGTGACTATTTGAAAGAAGGAACACAGACAGTTTGGGCGATTAAGAAGACATCACTGGAGCACTAATGTGGAGGATAGTTTGCTTTGTAGAAGGGCAGCAGAGAAATGTGTGCTAATTGGAAAACTGATAGTGTTTTGCTTGAGACAGGGTCTCACTATGTAGTTGAGACTGACCTGAAACTCACAATGTAGCCCAGGCTGGTTTTGAATTCACAGTCTTCCTCCTGCCTCAGCCTCCCGAGTGCTGGGATTATAGGAATACACCACCACACCCAGCACTTTTCATTTTCTTTCAGATGGAAGAAGAAACAACATGTTTGTATGTTGATAGTGAACATACGAGGAAGGCAAATTTGACTGTGCAAGAGAAAGGGAAGAGTTGCTGAGTAATGTCTTATATTACATAGGAGGATAGGTCTAAATCATAGCTAGATGGATTAGTCTTAGGTAAGATAATGTAAAAGAAAGTAAGATAGTGTGTAGCATAGATGCAGAAATGTGGATTGTATGGTAGTGAGAGTTCATAAGAATTCTCTTCTGTTGCTTCTAATTTTCTAAGAGAAATTAGGATGCATATCATCAGCTGAGAATGAGGCTAGGGGTGGTAGTGTGGGGGTGTAAGAATGAAATAGTCATCTAGGAAGATAGGAAGGAAGAACTAAAGAAATACAATAGGCTTCTTGGGTGGTAGGTCATGAAATGAAAGTGAGAACACTAGGCATGGTTGTGTGTTTTTCTCCAGCCTCATTTATCTGCTTGAGTGTAGACACAGGGTGGAAAAACTAGTTTAACCAGATGCTGAGGTTTTGCCATGATGCATGGCAAAGACAGATGCAAGTTAGATAGTGATTATAATGATCAACTGTAGAACATGAATTGGATTAGGAAGGATGAAGCACAAAAAGTGGGTAAAGCGATCAAAGGGTTGCCTCTAACATGAAACTCCTGCCTTTCGTGTTTTCTTCCCCCTCCACCTCTTTTTTTTTTCAGAGAGAAGATATCCCCCATCATATGACTATTATTAAGAGATGTGAATAACATCTGCTCAAGGATCTGTCTTCCTTTAAACCACTGGAGCTCCTGATATTTTTGTGAATGATCTATTTTTTTGTCCTTGGCAAAAAAAAAATTACTGATCATAAACAGAAAAAAGGTAGGAGGTAAGAGGTCTAGTATGTTACTTACTAGTTAAAACAATAGAAGCTTCCATGTTTTGCCTGTCTTATGCCTGTATGTTGAAGTCTTATTTCTTCATTTCTATTTTTATTTAGAAGTTACCTTTATTTGATCTCATGCATAACATGCCAGATTCTGAATAAAATTTAAAAATCTTAAGTGCAGAATAAAGGAGAGAAAAACTCCATGAATGGTCTAATTTGTGTTTATTCCACTGGTGTGTGCTTCAGTGATGGATGGCTTGTTGGGAAGTTCAGAGCAGAGAAATTCTGTTCTGCCTTTCCTCTAAGTCAGTTTTGTTTTGTTTCTGGTAACAATGCTACATGGGCATTTTGGTAACACAAAGGGGAACCTGAGAATCAAGCACTTAAAAAAAAATTATTGTCTTAGCTAGTTGATGCTGAGACAAAATACCCAACACCCAAAGTTAAAGGAGGCAGTTTATAGAGATTTATTTGGCTCTTTTGTCAAAGATGAGGTGGCTGGGTGTATCTGGAGTTGTTTCTGCATCTTCTAATCTGCTTGACTGATCTCTTGGGTCTGTTTCTTGGCCAGTACCATGCTGTTTTTTTTTTTTTTTTTTTTTTTTTAAATCACAGTAACCTTGTAGTATAGTTTTAGGTTGGGGATTGTGATATCTCCTACCTTGTCTTTGTTGCCTAGAATTGCTTTTACTATTCTAGGTCTCTTCTGGTTCCAAATGAATTTTTGGATTATTTTCTCAGATCTGTGAATCATGCTGTGGGAATTTCATTTGGGACTGCACTGAATCTATACAGCAGTTTTGGAAGTATGGCCATTTTCACTATATTGGTTCTTCCTACCCAGGAGCAAGGGATGTCTTTCCATTTTCTGATATCCTTTTTGATCTCTTTTTTCTGAGTGCTGTAATTTTCAAAGTAGAGGTCTTTGATTTCTTTCACTAGGTTGATTCCTAGGTATTTCATTTTTTGGATGCTATTGGGAAGGGATTTATTTCTCCAGTTTCTCTCTCAGTGAGTCTGTTGGTTGTGTACAGGAAGGCTATTGATTTTTGTGCATTGACCTTGTATCCAGCTACTCTACTAAATTTGGTTATTAAGTCTAGAAAACTTTTGGTGGAGTTCTTGGGGTCTTCTATATGAAGTGTCATGTTGCTTGCAAATAATGACAATTTAACATCTTTGTTTCCTATCTTTATTCCTTTTAATTCTTCCTCTTGTCTAATTTCTGTGACTAATGTTTCCAAACAGGAAACAGGAGTGGTGATAGTGGGCATCCTTGTCTTGTTCCTAATTGAAGGATTTCAGTTTTTTAACCATTTAGTATGATGTTGGCTCTTGGTTTGTCATAGATCCTTTTTATCAGGTTGAGATAGAGACCATCTATTCCAGTTTTCTTTAGGGTTTTATCATGGGTGTTGGATTTTGTCAAATGCTTTTTCTGCATCTATTGAGTTGATCATATGGTTTTTGTCCTTGGCTGTATTAATATAGTATATTACATTTATTGATGTACATGTGTTGAACCATCCCTGTATCCCTGTGATGAATCCTACTTGGTCAGTGTGTATGGTCTTCTTGATCTTCTGTATTCTGTTTGCCAATATCGAGGATTTTTGCATTTATGTGCACTAGTGAGATTGGCCTATAATTCTCTTTTTAGGTAGGATCTTTCTCTACTTTGAGGATCAAGGTGGTGCTTGCTTCCAAGAACGAATTTGGGAGTATTACTTCCCTTTCAATTTCATTGATGAATGTAATCTATAGTGGCAGTAGTTCTGTAAATGTCTTGTAGAATTCATCAGTGAAGCCATGACCCAGGCATTTCTTCATTGGTATGTTTTTAATTACGTTTTCAATTTCATTGATTGATATTGGGTTGTTTTCTTCTGTGTTTTTCTTCTTGTTGGCATATTGATTCTCAAAGTAGGTATTGATGATCCCTTGGATTTCTGTTGAGTCCATTATAATTTCACTCTCTACATTCCTAGTTGCATGGATTTGGGCCTTTTCTTTTCTTTTTTTGATAAAATTGATCAAGGGTTTGTCAATTTTGTTTATTCATTCAAAGAACCAACTCTTGAGCTGGGGATTTAGCTCAGTGGTTCTGCTGCCTGCCTTGCAAGTGCAAGGATCTCAGTGAGTCTGTTGGTTGTGTACAGGAAGGCTATTGATTTTTGTGCATTGACCTTGTATCCAGCTACTCTACTAAATTTGGTTATTAAGTCTAGAAAACTTTTGGTGGAGTTCTTGGGGTCTTCTATATGAAGTGTCATGTTGCTTGCAAATAATGACAATTTAACATCTTTGTTTCCTATCTTTATTCCTTTTAATTCTTCCTCTTGTCTAATTTCTGTGACTAATGTTTCCAAACAGGAAACAGGAGTGGTGATAGTGGGCATCCTTGTCTTGTTCCTAATTGAAGGATTTCAGTTTTTTAACCATTTAGTATGATGTTGGCTCTTGGTTTGTCATAGATCCTTTTTATCAGGTTGAGATAGAGACCATCTATTCCAGTTTTCTTTAGGGTTTTATCATGGGTGTTGGATTTTGTCAAATGCTTTTTCTGCATCTATTGAGTTGATCATATGGTTTTTGTCCTTGGCTGTATTAATATAGTATATTACATTTATTGATGTACATGTGTTGAACCATCCCTGTATCCCTGTGATGAATCCTACTTGGTCAGTGTGTATGGTCTTCTTGATCTTCTGTATTCTGTTTGCCAATATCGAGGATTTTTGCATTTATGTGCACTAGTGAGATTGGCCTATAATTCTCTTTTTAGGTAGGATCTTTCTCTACTTTGAGGATCAAGGTGGTGCTTGCTTCCAAGAACGAATTTGGGAGTATTACTTCCCTTTCAATTTCATTGATGAATGTAATCTATAGTGGCAGTAGTTCTGTAAATGTCTTGTAGAATTCATCAGTGAAGCCATGACCCAGGCATTTCTTCATTGGTATGTTTTTAATTACGTTTTCAATTTCATTGATTGATATTGGGTTGTTTTCTTCTGTGTTTTTCTTCTTGTTGGCATATTGATTCTCAAAGTAGGTATTGATGATCCCTTGGATTTCTGTTGAGTCCATTATAATTTCACTCTCTACATTCCTAGTTGCATGGATTTGGGCCTTTTCTTTTCTTTTTTTGATAAAATTGATCAAGGGTTTGTCAATTTTGTTTATTCATTCAAAGAACCAACTCTTGAGCTGGGGATTTAGCTCAGTGGTTCTGCTGCCTGCCTTGCAAGTGCAAGGACCAGAGTTTGATCCCTGGTACAAAAAAAAGAAAGAGAGAGAGAGAGAGAGAGAGAGAGAGAGAGAGAGATAAAAAAATAAACAAAGAACCAACTCTTTGCATCATTGATTTTTTTTGTATCAGTCTCTTAGTCTCCATTGCATTGATTTCTATTCTAATATTTATAATTTCCCCCCTTGTATGAGCTTTTGATTTGTCTTGCTCTTCTTTTTCTAGAAACTTGAGGTTTAAAATCAAGTTGTTTATTTGAGCTTGCTTTGTTTTCCTAATATAAGTGTTCACTGCTATGAATTTCCCTCATAAGACTGCTTTCATTGTGTCCTATAAATTCTGATGTGTTGTATTGGCATTGTCATTTAATTGTAGAAACTAATTTCTTCTCTGACTCATTGGTTGTTCAAAAGTGTTTTGTTCAATTCTCATGTATTTTTGAAGTTCTTATGTTTTTTTTCCTATTGATCTCCAATTTCATCACACTATGGTCTAATAATATACAGGGGATAACTTCAATTCTTTTGCACTTACTTAAACATGTTCTGTGAATGAGTATGTAGTCTATTTTGGAGAATGATCCATGTGTAGCCGAAAAGAATATGTATTCTGATTTTGCAGGGTAGAACACTCTTAAATATCTGTTAAGTACATTTGTTCAAGAACTTGGGTGAGTTCTAATATTTTGTTGTTTAATTTTTGTCTAGTTGATCTGTCTATTTGTGACAGTGTGGTACTGAGCCCCCCCCTACTATTGTATTAGTACTTATTTGATTCTTCATGTCCATTAATATTTGTTTTATATTAACTAGTATTTGGTATATATATATGTGTGTGTGTGTGTGTGTGTATATATATATATATATATATTTATGATTGTCTTCTCTTCCTCTTGGATTTTTCCCTTTTCAAGGATGTAGTGGCCTTTGTCTCTCTTAATTAGTGTTGGTTTGAAATCCATTTGATCTGCCAATAGGATAGTGACTCCAGCTTTTTTGGGGGGTTCCTGTTGCATGGAGTATTGTTTTACACCTTTTAACTTTCAGTCTATGAGTTTATTCTTGAATTAAGTGTGTTTCTTATATGTAGCCTATTGTTGGATCTTGCTTTTTGATCCATTACATCAGTTTATTTCTTTTGATTGGTGAATTGAGACAATTACCATTGATGGTTATAACTGATATGTATTCACTTGTCCTTGTCATGGCCTTTTCTTGTTGTTGGTGGTTGGTTCTTTTGTTTTTTATTTTTCCCTCGCTCCCTTTAATTTTTTTCCTTGCCTGTTATATTTGCTCTGTTGGCCCTTAGGGAGTTGTGGTCCTCGTTTTCTTTTTCTAGGATATTGTTTGGAGTGTTTATGAAATTTCTCAGGTGTTCTTTGTCATGGAAGCATCATATTTTCCCATAAATTTTGAAAGATAGTTTTGCAGGATACATCAGCCTAGGTTGGAGGTTGTTTTCTTTTAGGACTTGCAATATCTCACTCCAAGCTCTCCTTGTCCTGAGCATTTGTGTTGAAAAGTTTGCTGTGATTCTGATGGGCTTTCCTTTACATATGACTTGTTTTTTTTTTTTTTTCTCTGTTTGTAGTATTTTATTCTTCTGTTGGGTTTCTGGGATCTTGATTATTATTTGTCTATGTGTAGATTTTTTTTGATCATGGCTAGTT